CAACAATTCTAACTCGAGGAACAAGGAAGAAGATATACACAACAGTTTACCTAGGTTCCGGCCACCTTGCGGTGTAAGACCCTACTCCTGCTTTGGGGTGGATTAGTCGCACGAGGGGCTGAGGATAAACTAGTACAGGGGAAGAACAACCTCACGAGGTCTGCTCTAGTGTGGGTGTGTGATCTGGGGAGGTGTCAGTCCGATCCCCCCCATTGTGGTGGCTAGCCCATATATATAGTGGCCTCGGTCCTCTTCCCCCAAAACATAGGCGTGAAGGGATCCCAGTGGCCAATTTGAAAGGGGACAAGTAGTACATCTTATCCTAATTAAAGGTGATCTTCTCCTGCAAAGCCTCTGGCCGTGACGTTGCGGTGGGCTCAACGATGACACCCGCCCTGCCGTCCTGACGGTCTTGGTTTCCTTGCACAGGAATGGAAACCTTTGGCTGATTCCTCGGGACCCCGTGCCCGCGCTTGCCTCTTTAGCACCAAAGAGGAAACCTGCTCCTCTGCGCCTGCTGATGCCCGCCTGGCCTTGGTCGTCATGGCTTGTGTCACCTCAACCTCATGAGGTGGGCACCTGCATAGAAATCTCCGCTCCCGGGGAGGCTGCTCCCTCCGGAGGTCTTGATGTCGCCCGCCTCGGGAGGCTTGGCCCCTCGCAAGGGTCTTGCCTTGAAGGTGTTGCAGATGGGCCATATCAGACCGTTGATGGAGCCACGCCATGGACTGCGGACAGGCAAGTCTGGGTGCCCTGGTTCCCAGAACGCCGACATATACCTCGCTTATAGCTAGATGGTATGAGCTCTCGCCTGAAGCAAACACAATAACGAGCCGACCCATTAGCGATCCACCGCACACTTAAAAGAAATAGAGAAGAAAAATGGAGAAGCCGGGGATCCATCCCAGGTCTCCTGGATGTTGCGTTGCGCTGCAAGCCACTGAGTCACTATCGGGTTCGTGGTAAAATAATAGGGCATGACCAACTAAAGGTAAAAGAGCCGATTTCCACTATTGTTTCAGGATATTATTTTGCTATGTTTTTTCATTGGTTTTCTTTGTTTGTTTCTTTGTTTTCACTGTTTCTTTTCTTTTTTTTCCTTTGTTTCTTTCTTGGTTTTCACCTCTTTTTCCGTTCTTTCTGTTTTCCTTCAGTTTTGTTTGTTTCTTTCTCATTTTTACTTTTCTCTTTATTTTCATTATTTTTCTACACTCATTTTTTGGTATATATACAATACATTTTTAATACACATTTAACATTTTTCAAGTATAAGATTAACATTCTTTTGAATACATGGTCAAAAAAAATTAGACACATTTAACATTTTTCAAATGCTTGATATACATTTTCCAAATACAAGATTAATTTCTTGAATACATGGTCGACATTTTCTATACACATTTAACATATTTCAATTGCTTGATTAACATTTTTTAAATGCAATTTTAACATCTTTTGAATAGATGATCAACATTTTTGCTATACACATTTAACGTTTTTTAAATACTTCCTCCATCCCAAAATAACTAACTCAACTTTGTACTAATATTAATATAAAGCTGAGTCACTTATTTTGGGATGGAGGGTGTACTTGATAAACATTTTTGAAATACTTGTTTAACATTTGTTTCAAATGCTTGTATTAACATTTTTTAAACATCTTCAACTTTTTCATACACATTGTATATTTTACATTTTTCATATACATGAGAAACATTTTATTTATAGATATTTAACATTTCTCAAATGCTTGTTAACATTTTTTCAAATGTTTTATATAAAGTGTTTTTTCATAATATATTTATTTAGAATATTTGGAACAAGTAAAAAAACATAAAAAAAACAAAAGAAAAAAACGTAAAAAATGAGGTTGTTGTCACCTGCGCGCCTAGGCCGGCACCTTTAACGCTCGGCTTAACGCGAGGGTTGCCTAAGTCTCGCTTTAAGCGAGACATAGTGGCAACAAGGTATTGCCCCAGCGATTATTTATCGCATTGAGTGAGATGGAAAGTTTCACTAGCTGGAGCATAGATCAATCGAGCAGATCCTTGACATGAGGCTTCCGTACGTCTCGTTATAAGCAAGACATAGGGGTAGCAAGGTATTACCGGAGCGACTATTTATCACATTGAGCGAGGTGGAAAGTTTCTTTTTTTTTTGAGGCAAGGTGGAAAGTTTCTTTCGCTGAAGCATGGGGCAATTGGGCCGACCCTTAACGCGCACCTAAAAGAGAAAATATATAGAAGAAAAGTTTTGTAATTAGGAGTCGATACTGCGATCTTCCGGGCAAGTGGTTGTGCTGCTAGCCACTGAGCTTGTGGGCGGTTGGTGACAAATTAGAGGGTCCGGTGTACTTGACAATAAACGAGCTTGTATTCCATAGGTTTTTCACCACTTTTCTTCATTTCTTTTCTCAGTTTTGACAAATTCTTTTCTTTTTTTTCTCCGATTTGTTTCATTCTTTTTTTTGCTTTTTTTCATTTCTTTCTTTCTCCGATTTTTTATTTCTCTCTCTCTTTTATTTGTTTCATTGTTATTCAATTCCTTTTATTTCATTTCTTTTTTCTTCTCTGATTTTTTCATTATTTCTCTTTTTCTTCTCTGATTTGTTTCATTCTTTTACATTTATTTCTTTGTTTTTATTCTTTTCTTTGTATTTTAAACTTGTTGAATACATGGTCAAAAAAATTTCTATAAGCATTTTTAAACTTTTTAAAATGCCTGATTAACATTTTTTAGATACAAGATTAACATTTTCGAATACGTGGTCAACATTTTTCCTATGCACATTTAACATTTTTTTCAAATGATTGATTAACATTTTTCTAAATGCAATATCAACATTTTTTTAACACATGGTTAATACTTTTTGTACACTTTAACATTTTCCAAATGCTTAACCAACATTTGTTTTAATACTTGTTCAACATTTTTTAGATGCTTGATTAGCATTTTTTATATACATGCTCAAAAAATTTCATGACTATTTAAATACATGTTCAACATTTTTTATACACATTTAACATTGTTCAAAAGCTTCATTAACATTTTTTTCAAATACTTGTTCAGCATTTTTTTCAAATGATAGATTTAAATTTTTATATACATGATTAAAAACTTCATCATTTTTTAAATATATGGTCAACACTTTTTCTACAGACATTTAACATTTTTGAAATGCTTGATCAACATTTTTCAAAAACTTGTTCAACATTGTTTTAAATGATTGATTAACATATTTATATACATGATACACAAATTCGCAAAAAAAAAACATGATACACAAAATTTATAATTTTTTAATACATGGTCAACATTTTTTCTATACACATTTTACATTTTCGAAATACTTGATCAACATTTTTCAAATGATTGATTAACATTTTTATATACATGATAAAAAAGTTATCATTTTGAATTGCATGGTCAAGAAAATTATACAAATTAAAAAATTCTAATGCTTGATCAACATTTTGAAATACTTGGTTAGTAAAATTTCAAATTCTTGATTAACAGTTTTTTAAGACATGATCAAAAATTTATACACATTTTTATAAAAAATTTCGTATACGTGATAAACATTTTCTCTATGCACATTCAATATTTTTCAAATACTTTGTCAAAAAAACTCTTATATTTTTATAGAGTATTTTTAATATTATATATATATCTTTAATATTTAGTATAAACAAAAGAAAAAATAAAGGAGGAACCGAAACGGAAAACGTAAACAAAAATACAGAAAAAGGAGATTGTGGCCTCCCGCGCTCCTGGGCCAGCCCATCTCGGTCTCCCCTTCAGTGAGGGGGTTCCTACGGGAGTCCCTACCTGACGCTCGTTAGCGTGAAAAGGACGAGCTTTCGCGCAGGCGCGAACTGAATGGGCCGGCCCATTCGATGGCGTTGTAGCGAGAGGCTACTTAAATATAAAAGAACAAAAAATGCCATACCGAGGAATCGAACTGGAAACCTGGCAACCACGAGTAACCGTTCTTCACCAGTTGAACTACTAAGCATTTCTGGTGAGTTCATCGCGGAATTTTATTTAAACTCAATGCCGTGGCAGATCCAGAAAAAATACAAAAAAAATTCAACCATTGAACATTTTTGTAAATATACAACGTTCAATTTTTAAATAGATAAAGAACATTTTTGGATACATGCTGAACAATTTTGAAATACACATTGAATATTTTTGTGATATACGCTGAATATTTTGTTAAATATACATAAAATATTTTTGTAAATATACACTGAACATTTTTAACTACACATTGAACACTTTTGTGATATAAGCTGAACAATATTGAAATAGAAATTGAACATTTTTGTGATATATGTTGAACAATTTTTATATATACATTGTACATTTTTGTAATGTACGCTGAACAATTGTGATTTTTTTTATAAAAACCGTTTTTTACAATTGTGGACAAGTTTTGAAATCATGAACAAAATTTGGAATTCCGAACATTTCTTAAAACATAGAATGAAAATAAAAACGAAAAAACATAAAAGAAAGGGAAAGAAAAAATAAAATAAATAGAAAACAGAAACAGAAGAAAACAAGAAAAACAGAAAAGCAGTAAAAGATAAAAACATGAAATAATCGGTCCAGGGAACCCTCTAGAAGGTTCCCAAAACCGTTTGCCTGGCCCTGCTTCAACGCACGAAATGGGCCGGCCCGTTTGCACTGCTCGCTCGTGCGCTTCAGCGGAAGCGGAGCAGATGGACGCACGCGAGCGTCAAATAGGGTTCGCCGGTTCCTACCCTCTCGTTGGACAATCCCTACCAGTCAGGAGCTTTCTTCACAGGCCGATGTGTTCGAAGGCCCACGTGAGAGACCGTCTCGCACGTAAACCGTCTCGTATGTAAACTTGGTTACGGGTATATAGGGGCTCGCGCAACGACTTTCCACAATCGCCGCCTCCTCCCGAATCCTACTTCCGATCGCCGTCGACAGCCTACCTTACGCCGTCTTCTCCCGATCTCGACGTGGTCATGGTTATTTCCCACTCCCACTCTCAGCCTCTACTAAACCACCGTACCGAGGAGCACAATCACGGCGATCACCTCTCGGGACCGCAGGGTAGCAGTAGTGATGGCTCCTCGAGCCTGCCCAGGGGCGGCAAGCTGCGGACAAAATCCTGCGAAGACATGCTCGGCCGTATACGACGAGGTGGCATCGACGAAACCAAGGACGACTTCAAGCGCCGTGAGACGGATCCGGCCTACGTGAGCTTTGAGGACATGTTGGCATCCAAGGAGTTCCGGGAGGGCATTAGCCGTCCGGCGCCGGAGGCTGGGATCACGCATCCGCTTGTGAGGACGGCGTCGCGGCTGTACACATCTACGGCCCACCCACGGCAGCGTCGCCGATCTCCGGGGCCGCTAGGGACTCGCCGTGGCGGCACCATGTACCGTTTTGTGAAGAAGTACATCTGCCCTTGCTTGGACTTGGTCGGCAGAGCTTTGGGTTGCATGCCAAGCATGACGGCTCATTGATTGGTTCAATGGATTATAATTCGTTTTGTGATCTCTATAATAAGGGCAATGTTTGCTTTAGTCATGCTTAAAATATTTTGTTCGTTAGTCATGTGAAGCTGACGTTTAGTTAGCGTAGTTAGTTGCCTGAACACATACATTGTTGATTCTCGTGGAGTAGATTCGTTTCTTTCTAAAGATTCTAGCCGGCTTGTTAAAGGGTTCGCTTGAAAAGCGTTTGTGTTCTTGTAAAACGGCCACGACCGTCGCTCCCTGTGATGGTACAATGGTTCATCCACCCTCGCTAGTGTTCATCCACCCTCGCTAGTTCCTCTCCTCTCGCAAAAAAAATAATAATACTAAGAATAATTAAAGGCTGCTACAAATCAACCGTTGATTTGTTACAAAATTAAGCCGCCTCCACAGCCATCTGATTCAGATGCTTCTAGCCGCAGGATCGGGCGACATCACGCATCTCCCGTGTCAGCACCACGCAGCAGCTCCCATGGCTGCACCAATGGCTTCGGGTGACGCTGCATTCCAACCTCGCCGGAGCTTCCAACGATGGCCGCGGCGCTTCACTGCAACTTCGACGGTGCTTCATTGCAACCTCACCGAAGCTCCAACGACCGCCGCGACGCTTCACTACAGCTTCAACGGCGCTTCATTGCAACCTCGCCGGAGCTTCGACGGCCACCGCGACGCTTCACTGCAGCTTCGACAACGCTTCATTGCAACCTCGCCGGAGCTCCAACAACCGCCACGGCACTTCACTGCAGCTCCGGTGGCGCTTCATTGCAGCCCCGCCGCACCTGATGGGAGACGGCGAAGCTTCACTGCAGCACAACGCGACGGCAACGGGGTGCTGCGATGAATCACGCGGTGGCGACGGAGCTCTGGCAGCCCCATGTTGCGCTGCTCCTCTCCTCAGCCTCCCGATTGCAGCATGTGCGACGAGTGGTGACCCGTCTCCGACTCCGTCGTCATCTGCAGCTCCGGTGGCCACTACCACGCAGCCTCGCGGGATTCCGCGCCACCGCCCGCACCATGCGCACCATCGCTCCCCTCGCAGCTACGGCTCCTCGTCGAGTGGCAGCCATCGCAGCGCAGCGGCGCCCCCTATAGCTGCAGCAGCTTGCCGACCGGGGGTGGGAGAGGTCAGGGGCAGAGGCGGAGGCGCTCAAGAAGAGAAGAAAGCAAGACTGCATGGGGAATGGGGAGAGAGGGGATCGGTTGTGGCGATTGATAGGAAGAGGACGACTTGCGGGGCGGTGCGATGCATCGTTCCCACCGGACACATGTCGATCTATTGAGGCGAGTTACGGGAACGAGAAATCAGCCGGCTTAAACAGAATGTTTTCCATAATTAAAGGGCAACACTAGCGGCCGTCACTGCACGGGTATTTGATCAAAACGCCTGTAGCCGTCAGATCGGGCTTTCCGGATTGTTTTTGTCCCCAAAAATCACATCCGACGAGCACAGGGAAGCCCGAGCAGCGACCGCCGCCTATGCTCTCCATGGACGAGCGAGGCGGCCAACCTCGAACCAACGCCGCCCTCACCGGCACCTGCTTTTCTTACTGGCTGCACGCATGCAACTGTTGGAAATATGCCCTAGAGGCAATAATAAATTAGTTATTATTATTATATTTCCTTGTTCATGATAATCGTTTATTATCCATGCTATAATTGTATTGATAGGAAACTCAGATACATGTGTGGATACATAGACAACACCATGTCCCTAGTAAGCCTCTAGTTGACTAGCTCGTTGATCAATAGATGGTTACGGTTTCCTGACCATGGACATTGGATGTCGTTGATAACGGGATCACATCATTAGGAGAATGATGTGATGGACAAGACCCAATCCTAAGCATAGCACAAGATCGTGTAGTTCGTATGCTAAAGCTTTTCTAATGTCAAGTATCATTTCCTTAGACCATGAGATTGTGCAACTCCCGGATACCGTAGGAATGCTTTGGGTGTGCCAAACGTCACAACGTAACTGGTTGGCTATAAAGGTACACTACGGGTATCTCCGAAAGTGTTTGTTGGGTTGGCACGAATCGAGACTGGGATTTGTCACTCCGTGTGACGGAGAGGTATCTCTGGGCCCACTCGGTAGGACATCATCATAATGTGCACAATGTGATGAAGGAGTTGATCACGGGATGATGTGTTACGGAACGAGTAAAGAGACTTGCCGGTAACGAGATTGAACAAGGTATCGGGATACCGACGATTGAATCTCGGGCAAGTATTGTACCGATAGACAAAGGGAATTGTATACAGGATTGGTTAAGTCCTTGACATCGTGGTTCATCCAATGAGATCATCGTGGAACATGTGGGAGCCAACATGGGTATCCAGATCCCGCTGTTGGTTATTGACCGGAGAGTCATCTCGGTCATGTCTGCATGTCTCCCGAACCCGTAGGTTCTACACACTTAAGGTTCAGTGACGCTAGGGTTATAGAGATATTAGTATGCGGTAACCCGAAAGTTGTTCGGAGTCCCGGATGAGATCCCGAACGTCACGAGGAGTTCCGAAATGGTCCGGAGGTAAAGAATTATATATAGGAAGTGTTGTTTCGGCCATCGGGACAAGTTTCGGGGTCACCGGTATTGTACCGGGACCACCGGAAGGGTCCCGGGGGTCCACCGGGTGGGGCCACCTGCCCCGGGGGGGCACATGGGCTGTAGGGGGTGCGCCTTGGCCTATATGGGCCAAGGGCACCAGCCCCAAGAGGCCCATGCGCCAAGAATCAAGGGAGAGGAAGAGTCCTAAAGGGGGAAGGCACCTCCGAGGTGCCTTGGGGAGGATGGACTCCTCCCCCCCCTTGGCCGCACCCTTCCTTGGAGGAAGGGGCAAGGCTGCGCCCTCCCCCTCTCCCTTGGCCCTATATATAGTGGGGGAAGGGAGGGCAACCTAACCTAAGCCCTGGCGCCTCCCTCTCCCTCCCATGACACATCTCCCTCCTCCCGCAGCGCTTGGCGAAGCCCTGTTGGAATCCCGCTACTTCCACCACCACGCTGTCATGTTGTTAGATCTCCATCAACCTCTCCTCCCCCCTTGCTGGATCAAGAAGGAGGAGACGTCGCTGCTCCGTACGTGTGTTGAACGCGGAGGTGCCGTCCGTTCGGCGCTAGGATCATCGGTGATTTGGATCACGACGAGTACGACTCCATCAACCCCGTTCTCTTGAACGCTTCCGCTTAGCGATCTACAAGGGTATGTAGATGCACTCTCCTTCCCCTCGTTGCTGGTTTCTCCATAGATAGATCTTGGTGATACGTAGGAAAATTTTGAATTTCTGCTACGTTCCCCAACAGTGGCATCATGAGCTAGGTCTATGCGTAGTTTCTATGCACGAGTAGAACACAAAGTAGTTGTGGGCGTTGATTTTGTTCAATATGCTTGCCGTTACTAGTCTTATCTTGATTCGGCGGCATCGTGGGATAAAGCGGCCCGGACCGACCTTACACGTACTCTTACGTGAGACTGGTTCCATCGACTGACATGCACTAGTTGCATAAGGTGGCTAGCGGTTGTCTGTCTCTCCCACTTTAGTCGGATCGGATTCGATGAAAAGGGTCCTTATGAAGGGTAAATAGCAATTGGCATATCACGTTGTGGTTTTTGCGTAGGTAAGAAACATTCTTGCTAGAAACCCATAGCAGCCACGTAAAACATGCAAACAACAATTAGAGGACGTCTAACTTGTTTTTGCAGGATATGCTATGTGATGTGATATGGCCAAAAGGATGTGTTGAATGATATATGTGATGTATGAGATTGATCATGTTCTTGTAATAGGAATCACGACTTGCATGTCGATGAGTATGACAACCGGCAGGAGCCATAGGAGTTGTCTTAATGTATTTATGACCTGCGTGTCAACATAAACGTTATGTAATTACTTTACTTTATTCCTAACCGTTAGCTGTAGTAGTAGAAGTAATGGTTGGCGAGGCAACTTCATGGAGACACGATGATGGAGATCATGATGATGGAGATCATGGCGTCATGCCGGTGACGATGATAATCATGGAGCCCCAAAGATGAAGATCAAAAGGAGCAATATGATATTGGCCATATCATGTCACTATTTGATTGCATGTGATGTTTATCATGTTTATACATCTTATTTGCTTAGAACGACGGTAGTAAATAAGATGATCCCTCATTAAAATTTCAAGAAAGTGTTCCCCCTAACTGTGCACCGTTGCGACAGTTCGTTGTTTCGAAGCACCACGTGATGATCGGGTGTGATAGATTCTAACATTCACATACAACGGGTGTAAGACAGATTTACACACGCGAAACACTTAGGTTGACTTGACGAGCCTAGCATGTGTACAGACATGGCCTCGGAACACAGAAGACTGAAAGGTCGAGCATGAGTCGTATAGAAGATACGTTCAACATGAAGATGTTCACCGACGTTGACTAGTTCGTCTCACGTGATGATCGGACACGGCCTAGTTGACTCGGATCATGTAATCACTTAGATGACTAAAGGGATGTCTATCTGAGTGGGAGTTCATAAGATGAACTTAATTATCCTGAACATAGTCAAAAGGTCTTTGCAAATTATGTCGTAGCTCGCGCTTCAGTTCTACTGTTTAGATATGTTCCTAGAGAAAATTTAGTTGAAAGTTGATAGTAGCAATTATGCGGACTAGGTCCGTAAACTAAGGATTGTCCTCATTGCTTCATAGAAGGCTTATGTCCTTAATGCACCGCTCAGTGTGCTGAACCTCGAACGTCGTCTGTGGATGTTGCGAACATCTGACATACACGTTTTGATGACTACATGATAGTTCAGTGCGTAATGCTAAATGGTTTAGAATTGAGGCACCGAAGACGGTTTTGAAACGTCGCAAAACATATGAGATGTTTCAGGGCTGAAATTGGGATTTCAGGCTCGTGCCCACGTCAAGAGGTATAAGACCTCCGACAATTTTCTTAGCCTACAAACTAAGGGAGAAAAGCTCAATTGTTGAACTTGTGCTCAG